GTGTGTTACATAGCTCACGTGCCATTGGTTGTGCAGCATATGCAAACGCAACTCGCAGCATAACAGCATAGAGCGCATGGCCCGCAACGTAGTCGCCCCAAATGGATTGGACCACGCGTAACGCCAACAACGGCAGTTCTCCCAGCAGGTGCCAACTGGACGATTACGCACGTTGGTTCGTGGATGTGCCCGTCACCCCCGTGGAACAACTACACCAGCGCACCGTAGCCAGTTGATTCAAGCATCGGCTCTGCGTCAGTGCGTCGGCGCGATGACCGCTGGAGGGCGCCCCGCTTCTGCCCCGCGCTATGTTGGGTCATCGGGCTCGGTGTTGTCCAGTCCGAAGAGCGCTCGCCGCGCGGAGTTGAGGTCGAAGGCACGGGCATTGCTCAGTGCACCGCAGTTCCGATCAAAGATATCAGACGGCGTGGCGTCGGCCAGGGCTCGGGCGGCCGCAGAGAGCCAGAGGGCCAGGTCCACCACCCGTGAGCACGGTGCAGTCTTGAGGGAGAATTTGCTTGGGTTATTTTATAGCGGGCGCCTGACCGCCGCCATGCTTGTGCGCCTCGCGCACCTTGTGACGCTCGCGGGCGGGCATGGCGTACATGACATTGGCCGTGATCTGCAGCATGCCAAGAATTCAGCACGAGCGCTCGCTGCAACGCTTGGGGCAGACATCATTGCAAAAGAAGCGTTGCTATTGTTCAGAGCACCGACCCACGTGAGAAAAAGGAAGGTATCTGAGATCAAGTACCTTCCGTTCTTACCACTGCATGAGATATTAGCCCGAATGTTTACAAAGCATTGTGGCGACTGGCTCGCTCACCGTGTTGATCCGTCTCTTCTGTGTGCGTCGTTTTGGAAGCACGCAGTTGTCCAGAAATACGGTGGACACAACTGTATCCCGATCAGGTTATCGTGTGGCCTTCGGCCCGCCCTGCCGCCGTGTCTGCGTTGTGGGTCAGTGGCCCCTTCGAGGCATGTCAGGGCCCCTGGGGCGCCTCTCGGGAGCCTTTGTGGTGCAGTTTGGGAACACCTGTCAGGCCGCTACTCAAGTGTCTTGGGGGCCGCCCGACGCCTCTTTCGGGCATCTTGGGAGTTCATGGTGGCCCTCTTGGGGCCAGATCTGGTGTGTGTGCGTGTGCGTGTGCGTGTGCGTGTGTGTGCGTGTGCGCCGGCTGTGCCGCGTGTGTGCTTTGTGGCTGTGTGGTGTGTGTGTGCGTGTGCGTGTGCGTGTGCGTGTGTGTGCGTGTGCGTGTGCGTGTGCGTGTGCGTGTGCGTGTGCGTGTGCGCGTGTGCGCGTGTGTGCGTGTGTGCGTGTGTGCGTGTGTGTGTGTGTGTGTGTGTGTGTGTGTGTGTATGTGTGTGTGTGTGTGCGTGCGTGCGTGCGTGCGTGCGTGCGTGCGTGCGTGCGTGTGTGTGGCATTTTTAGGGCAGCTTCGGGACACGATTTGGGCCGTCGCGTGCGGTTGCTGGGCCGTATTGTGACCTTGTTGGGCCGTCGTGGGGCGGGTCTCTCGGGCGGTCTTGGCCCGAAGCCAGAGAATGCGAGAACGCTGAGGCCAGCACGCGCAGTTGCGGGGCCAGCTTGGGTTCCCTGGAGCGCTCTTGGGCTGTCTTGGGAGCATCCCTGGCTCGCTGGAGCGTTTCTCGGGGCCCTCGTGGCCCGTCTCGGGGCCCTCGGGCAGTTCGACGAGGCCGCGCGGCTGACTTCGCGCCCCGGGGCACGGTGGCGGATTCCTAGATTACGCCAGGATCGACGGGCATGCGTCGGCCCTCAACATGCTGGGCTCGCCGCCTCTGCCACCGCCGAGGGAGGGGGCGGGAGGTGGGAGGGCGGTGAAAAGAGGGGAGGGGAGAAACCGAAAGCAAGTGGAGTGAGGGGAAAGGAGGAGGAGGAGGGGAGGGCGTGAAAGAGGAGGAGGAGAGGACGAGGAGGAGGAGAAGGAGGAAGGGGAGGAGGAGGGGGAGGAGGACGAGGAGGAAGAGGACGAGGAGGCGGGGAGGAGGAGAAGAAGCAGGAGGAGGAGGAGGAGAGCGAGGACAACTTCGAGAGGAAACGGGCGAGGGGAGATGGAGGAGGAGGAGGAGGAGGAGGAGGAGGAGGAGGAGGGGGGCATATGATGAACAAGACAAATATGACGCGCAAGAGGACGCCCGAGGTCGAAACCCTGGGCGGTCGGATTTTCGCGTCAGTCATTGGACAGAAAGCGCGGGTCCCCATCGGGAGTTATCCAGGGTCGCTCATGTGCAAATGTGGGTGCAGAGGCTCGCACACAATTCAACCTTTACTTGAGGTAGTTGCGTGGGCAATGAATGTCTGCGCCTCTGGTGAGTGGCCGTCGGTGGACGCCATGGGAACTCAATGGCAGGAGGGTTCGCGGAGAGCGCTCATGAGGGGAGCGCCGTTGTTCGGCAAATCATCTTCTGGTGGGCTCATTCGCGCTGTGTGTTGTGAGATAAGTTGTGACCTCGACGAATACCCAAAAACATTGGGACTTCCTCACCATCGTGCCCGTCACGGTTGTATTGCCTGCTTCGCATCTTGCGACCATCTCGGTGATCTGGATTCACCTGTAAGGCCGCGCACGCACAAATGGTATCAAGATCTAGCTACTACGTGCATGATTTGCACCCCCATCAGCGACGCGGACGTCCCGATGCTCAGGGCAAACTTGCAGGCGCGGAAAAAGAAAGGAGGTCTCATCTTGAAAAGAAAACTTGATTGCATGCCAGAATTAAAAAGGGGCGACAGGGTGGAACCTGCGCGGCTGGGACATCCTGATTTTATACACGGTGAATATGTAGATACAGCACCCCCAGAGAAACGTCTGTGCTGGGTGTACCGACGTCCAAAGCACGCAGCTCTTTTCTTGAACCGTTTGCTGGACCTTCCCCATCAGACGGGGGTCGTCGGCCTGACGTCAAAGCATATGTTGCATGACTCAATGCACGTAGTTGAACTTGGCATCCTGCAATACTATATCGCAAGAGTGCTCATTGATTTGTTGCTTGCATCATTTTTTGGACCGTGGTCTACGGCAGAGCCTGACGCTGCAGATATGGAGCTTCAGCAAAGTGCTAGGCTGTACTACGACCAGAAGGGCATCTCATCCGACCTTCGGGTCACAAACCTTTCTTCTGCAATGGTGGACACGACTGCTGATAACCCTTCGATCTCATTGAAAGCGGCCAAATCGAGGTATCTGCTACCGTTCTTTGTGCACTTACTTGAATCTAAGGGCGGCGAAGATGTGCTCAATCGAAGGCGTGCAGAATCGGGCACGCACCTGTTTAAATGTGGCAAGGCCATGTGTGAGTATATCAATATATGTAGGAGGGAACCTCGCCACATGTCGGATGAAGCTTTGGCTCATCTGGCACACGTTACCCGCGTGTGCGTGCAATCGTGGCAGGCCGACAATCAGCCCGTGGCCATGAAGTGGCACGCGTTCGGCCGCCATTTTCACGAACAGGCGGCGTGGTCGGGGAATCCAGGGTGCACTGCAAATTTCGCCGACGAGAGCGAGAATTACAGCACGAAGGTGCGCAGTTTTGGATTGTATCGCCCTAAATTTTGTGAGACATGGCTGACAAAATGGGTCATGGAATTTTTGATGACGATGTAAGTACGGCATTCGTATCACAATTGCTCAATTCGCCTCCTCCTCCTCCTGCTGTTCCTCGAGCTGACAGTCGGGGAGCGTTGTCGGCGCGCGCCCCGCGGGCTCGAATCCGAGAAGCAATGCTTTGTGGTGCAGAATGCCGCGACGGTCGATCCGTTCACGCCATGCGTCGCCATGCCTTTGTTTCACACGTGCAATTGTTTCACACATGCACTCGCCCTTGACCACAAATACATCAAAAGCGCTTCGCGCTTCTTTTCTTGGGCGACGCCTCTCCGATGAGGAGAAGGAGGATAAGCAAAGGAGGGAAGAGGAGGGAGAGGAACAAGATGGTAAGAGGAAAAGGAGGAGGGATAATATGGTGATGGGGGAAGAGAAGGAGAAGACGGATCAGGAGGAGGAGGACGACGAGGATGAAGGTAACGCGGTGGAGGACAAGCGAGCTGAGGCCGTCGCAGCAGGAGCCCGAAACGGCTCTAGGAGCGCCCGAGAAAGGCACGGACATGAGGAGGAGGAGGAGGAGGAGGCGGAGGGGGAGCAGGAGGAGAAGGAGGAGGAGGAAAAGGAGGAGGAAGAGGAGGAGGAGGACGAGGAGGAGGAGGAGGAGGAGGAGGAAGAGGAGGGGGAGGAGGAGCAGGAGGAGAAGGCGGAGGAGGAAGAGGAGGAGGAGAAAGAGGAAGAGGAGGAGGAGGAGGAGCAAGGGGAGGAGGAGGAGGAGCAGGAGCAGGAAGAGCAGGGCGATGATGGTTTTGATGACAGGATAACTGAGTTGTTGTTGATGACGATGACGATGACGATGACGATGACGATGATGATGATGATGATGATGATGATGATGATGATGATGATGATGATGATGATGATGATGATGATGATGATGATGATGATGATGTAGCAAGCAAACGCAGACAAACGCAGACAAACGAGACGAACGCAGACAAACAGAGACAAATGAGACACAAACACCTTCCACACCTTCTGGGTGGACGGTCTGGAAGGTGGAGGGCATGGGATTGTGTCTGTGTGTTTGTTCCCCTCCTGACTGGGGCCCGACGCGGGGCCCGAAGCTGCAACGCAAAACCACCTGCGTCGGCAAGACCGTGGGAAGGCTCACCCTCGAGGCACCGTCGACGCCGGCGCCGGCGGCGTGTGAAAAAGCCCGCCGCCTTCACGAATTTCGGCGTTTAGCTGGGAAAAGAGCTGGTTTCGGCGTCGTTTTTTTTCTTCGTATGCGGTACTTTCGTCGTCGTCGCGTCGTCGTCGACGCAGTTTCGAACCGTTTCGCCCTCTTCGTCCTCGTCCTCGCTTTCTCGTCGTCGTGTTCGTCGTCGTCGGCGCCGGCGGCGGCGGCGGGGGGCCCCGGGCGGGGCGGTCCGCGCGGTGGGAAGCTGGCCGTAGGCCTCCTGGCGCCGGCGGTCAGTGGCCGGGCACGGCACGAGGGCGGACGACGAGGCCGTCGCCATCGTCGTCGTCGCCGCCGCCGCCGCAGCCGCCGTCGCCGCCCGTCGCACTCGCCGTGGTCCTCGCCGTCGTCGTGCGAAGGTGTTCGGCCCCGCACGCTCGGGGGCGCCAGCTGCGGCTGCCCCGGGCCAGAGCGGCTACAGAGTCGCCGACCCTCAGAGCCTCGAATCATCAGGGGTAACTCGGGTCAGAGCTAGCACGGGTTCGTTTTTCGGGATTCCGAACCCGACTTACCCCGGACCCGACTTACCCCGGATAATTCGGGCGTCCAGAGCCCCGAATCATCAGGGGTAACTCGGGTCAGGGCTGACTCGGGTTGGGTTTTCGGGATTCCGAACCCGACTTACCCCGGACCCGAGTTACCCCGGATAGTTCGGGCGCCCAAGACCCAGATCTCTGACGAAATGGACTGGTCAATCCAAGCGGGTTTCCCACTTCGGCCTCTGGGATCGTTGTCGGGCCCCAGGGCCATCAAAAGCGCATGATAGCCAGCATGGGCCCCCAAGAACGTGGTCTAGCATACTCTGCGATGTGATGTGTGCGATGCAGCCTACGCGATGCAATGTATGCAGTGCGACCCATGCAATTCCCATCTATGCGGGGCCAATCTCCGCAATGCAATCGATGCGGTGCTATCTTGAGCCGCACCACAGTGGCTACAATGCTGGTATATGCTATGCTAGGCTGTGCCCCTTTATGTGCTACGCTATGATCTGCTCAGCAAAACCACGCTATGCCATGCTGAGCTGTGCTATGCTGCGCTGAGCTGTGTTATGCTGTGCTAAGCGAGCGCACGGCGGCGACGGACGGCGACGGGCGGCAACGAGCCGGCCAGACCAGCACCCGGGCCATGTGCAAGGAGCGGCGACGGACGGCGGCGACGAGCTGGCCGGACCGGCACTGCGGCCCAGGCGGCGACGGGCGGCAAGGAGCCGGCCGGAAAGACAACGAGGACCCAGAGCAAAAGGCGGCGATGGACTTGGTAGTCCCCAAACGTGGTGGTGACAACACCTGGCGGTGAGTCTCGGGCGATTTGGTGTCACCACCCGGTTTGGGGACTCGTGCGGTTCTCCGAGGATGTCCCGAACATTGGTGGGTCCAGGATTCACAAAACCCGGTGGTGACCCGTGCCCCCAAACCCAGCGGTGACCTTTTTGGGGGATTCCAGGTCGCCACCTGGTATCTCACCACCCGGTTTGGGGGTTCCCAATGGACGGCGGCGACGGGCTGCGACGAGCCGGCAGGACCGCCACCGGGGCCCAGTTAACCATAAAACAGAAGTAAGAACTCCTGAGTGCAAGGCATTGCTTCGGGATTCTGGGACGAACGACTACCCCTCGGAAGGGGTCAGGACCCCTGGGACCGTGCATTGAATGAATCATATAATTCATCGTATGAATGGAGACTTGGAACATCTTATAGGCATCTGATCCACGGTCTCCTGTCAGGGTTTTGGCGTGCTGTCGGGGAGGGAGCATGGAGAAGGATAGCATGGGAGAGAAGGGAGGGAGAGAGAGAGAGGGAGACACAGAGACAGAACGAGAGAGAGAGAGAGACAAACAGATGGAGCATAGGGGGGTAGCAAGCCAAAACAACTCGAGCATGGTCTGCGGCGCTAGAAATTAATTGCGACCATGGTAGGGCCATTGCTGTGTACGCGATACGGTTCAGAACCATTAGCCGCACTACCCATAATTTACATCTACAGTTCCCTTCGTATCTCTCCAACTCCTCTCTTTCCATTCTCCCCCATTCAACACCATCTATTTCTCCACCTTGGGCGAGAGGTTCACATCTCCCCCTACCCCCTCTCCCTGGGTCTGGACAGGGCGTTCCGCAAAGCGTTGGACTGTCCAAGATGGCCCAAGATGATCCCACGAGGGGCCCAGGTAGCCCAAGATGGGGTTCAATATCGCAAAACAGAGAGCGAGATAGCTTCCAGCCTGCCTCTCAATGGCGACATGAGCATCCCAAGATGGCTCCAAGATGGTTCAAGAGGGCCCCAAGGTGGGCCCAAGAGCAGCTCAAGAGCGCCCCCAGGGAGCTCAACGAACCAATTGTTCGGCCTCTGAAGGTGGGGGGGCGTTAGTTGGCTTGGGCCGTTGATTGAAAAACCGCCCTTCTTTGATCGATGGCCTCCAAGATGGACCTCAGATCGCCACCAAGGCCCCAAGAGGGCCCCAAGAGAGCCGCCGAGAGGGCCCCGGGAGGCCCCCAAAAGAGCGCCAAGGTATCCAGAATGGCAAACAAACTTGCTCAAGAAACATGCCTTCGGGCTCCCGCGAAGGCATTGATGATTGACGCCTCCTGGGCCTGCTCAGGCGGATCCCCCGACCTTCGTTCGCAGACTGCGTGCTCCAGCACTTGCCTGCTCAAAGCAACTCGCCAGGTCATCGTTGCTGTATGGGCTGGTGTGGATGCTTTTTGATCGCAACCGCGTCGAGGGAAGCCGGGCGGCGTCAGAATTCCTTCCCTTTGCCCCCCCCCAGCCCCTCCATTCCATTCACCCCTGTCCCTCGTCCCTTCTCCTCTCTGCCCTTCGGCACTTCCCCACCTCTCACTTGTCCTCCCCCATCCCACCTGGCATGCACGCACAACAGCATGGGCGCACGCGTACGCCCGTGCACGCTCACCTTCTGCTCGGCCGGCGCGTCCGCGGGAGCGGCGCCAGCCCCTCGTCTCCGCAGGGCACGGCCAAAGCAGATGCGGAGGAGTAGGACAAGCAAGCGGCGAGGGGGGGGAGAAGGGAGGGAAGCGGAGGAGGGACGCGGATGAGGACATGTGAGATCGGAGGGAGGAGCAGGGCAGGGGAACGGGGCGGAGTAAAGGGGAGTCTTGGAGGGAATGGCGGAGGACGGAGGTGAACGGAGGATGAAGAGGTTGAAAGAGGTGAAGAGAGGGAACGGAGGAGGAGGAGGAGAAGTAAGAGGAAGAGGAGGAGAAGACGAAGGACAGAGGAGGAGGAGGAGGAGGAGGGAGAAAGGGGAGGAGGGAGGGAGGAAGGGGAGGAGGGAGGGGAGGAGGGAGGGATGAAGGGGGAGAGATTACAAGAGCCCGACGCACATGCTAACGCGCACGCGTGCGCACACACTTGAGAGTTCACTTGTTCCCCACGCCCTGGTGCCACACTCGATGGAACACCACTCGAATCAACAATCGAACGAACGATGCATTGCCGCAACTTCATAAAAAAGGCAAGCACGTCCGCGGACCGTGAGATCCCGATGCGCACTCACACACGCAGACACACACACACATAATTTCACACGCGCGCGTGTATCCCCACGGTCTTACTTAAGAGAACCGCGGCTCGAGAAAATTAGGCCCTTGTCTGGCCCACAACTGACCGCTTCGCATGCCCAGTAGCCAGGGTGAACCCACGAAATCGCCAGCGGCCAACAAAGAATCGCCACACTCTTATCCAATGCCACGGGTGTACCGACGCCCGCGCTTGGATCAAATCGTCTGCGCCAGGCAACGCGCCGAACCACTGAACCAACATCGGGCCGCATTGGACCGCTAAATCTCAGAACTGGGCCGTCTGAAACCGATATCGTATCGGATCGGTCCGATAGCAACGCCCTCTGCGCTCGCGCACGGCAACTCATCGCCCTCGCCCCGCGCCTGCGCCGCGGTCCAGACCTCCGCATCACTGAGCCGCAGGTCGAAGCAGGTGCGGATGGCGGCGTCGGCCGACTCCTCGGGGGCGCGGCCCGCGGCGCGGTTCGCCTGAGCCCACAGCTCCGAGGACCGCGCCCCGCGGTGCGCGATGGCCTTCCCCGCCGATGCGCGCCAGCCCCCCTGGAGAGGGGCAGCCGCTCCGGCCCCGCCTGCGACGCGCGAGGCGGGAGCGCCTCCGCGCCCCGAGACAAAATTCAACCTCCTCCTCCTCCTCCTCCTCCTCCTCCTCCTCCTCCGCCTCCTCCTCCTCCTCCGCCTCCGCCTCCGCCTCCTCCTCCTCCTCCTCCTCCGCTTCCTCTTCCTCCTCCTCCTCCTCCGCCTCCTTCCCTCCCTCCCTCCCTCCCCCTGCCCACCCAGAGTCGTCGGAGGAGCAGAGAGAGCGCATTGCTGCGAATGGGGCCGCGGCCAGGGAACGCAGATTACGGCGTATAGCTCCCTGGCGCGGCACCCTGCAATTCACATTCTAGCACCTCCTGTCTGTGTTTCCTTCCAGGGTTCCCGGAAGGTTTTCCAGATAGGTCCACTTGCGAGCACACGTTGACCGTCATGCCACCGCTGCACCACCAACACCACCACCTCCCCCCCCCTGCCTCCCGCGCCCCTTTCCCCTTCCACTCCCCCCCTCCGCTTCTCCCGACCCCCCACCCCGCCCCCCCCCTCTTCCCAGCATCGGTAGCATCCCGCAGGCCGCCGCCAGCACCGAAGCTGGCGGACGCCGCTCCGTCCCAGCCCGCCGCGCGCCGACCCGCGCGGCGACCGGCGGCCCGTCGCGGACGCGCGGGCGGGCCGCCCTCAGCGGCCAGACGCTAGCACGAGGAACGCCCGCCGCAGCAGTCTCAATCCTGGGGATCTCCAGCGGTACCCTCAGCAATCCAGACCACCGCGGCAGACCAACCGCGAAAGACGGGCGGCAGAGGACCACAAGCTGCACGCTCAAGAATCCCGACCGCCGCCGCGGGACGACAGAAGACTGGGGGGGAAAGGGGTGGGACCGGACTGCAGGGTTTCGCGCCGAGGCGGCGAACGCGGGGGGGGGGAACCTCGCGCCGCCCCGACGGAGCGGTTTGCAACCTGGCAGCCCCCCCCACGGAAGGAAACCCCTCTTTGGGGGCCGTCCCTGGGGTTCGGGTGCTTGGACCCCGAAGGCCCGATGCCCCGCGCCTGCATCAGGGGGCGCTTTGGCCCGACACCCCACGTATGGGGGTGCCCCTCCGAGCCCCTCCCCCTCCCTCTCCTCCTCCTCCTCATCCTCCCTTCCTCCTGCCTGCTCCTCCCCCGCCGTCCTCCTCCTCCTCCTCCGCTCCTCCTCTCCTCCGCCTCCTCCTCATCCTCCTCCTCCTCCTTTCCTCCTCCTCCTCCTCCTCCTCCTCCTCCTCGCGCCCAACTCCGCGCGCACGAGCGGGGATCCGCGACCTGCCGGCTGGGCAGGAGGGGGTCCGTGCAGAGGAGCCGGCGGGCCGCTGGGCGCGCTCGCCCCGGGCGTGGGCACAATTACGGTAGGTTCGCCCGGGAGAAGCCACCAGAAGCCACCAGACCACTCCAGGGGAGGGTATTTTTCGACACCCCTCACGAGGATCGTGGCCTCCGAGGGGGGAGCCGCAATCGACTACCCCCAAGAGCCCCCCAAGAGGCCCTGGGGGCCTCCAAAACGCCGCCAAGGAGCCCCAAGAGACTCCCAAGAGGTCCCCAAGAGGCCCCCAAGAGGCCCTAAAGAGGGCTCCAGGGCCGGCGGCATGAGCGAAGCGATTAAATTACGGTAGGTTCGCGCGGCCTCGGCGCGCGCAAAGGCTTTTGACACCGCCGAAGGGACCATGGGAAGCACAAAGAAATACACACAAATAAAAAATGATTCCCCATCTTTTCTAGGTTTCTGTCTTCCCCCCCACACTACCCATATTTCCCCATATTTTTTCTAGGAAATCGACAATTCATTGTGTCTGTGTGTTTTTTCTCCTCCTGAACCGCGTCGATCGTTCAGTCTTGATTCGATCGCGGCCCCTACCGTTCAAGGTGAATTCCCTCGGGTCCAGCGGCGTCTCCGTGTGCCTCGGTGCTTCCGCGTGGCAGGATTCCACCCGGAACACCTTCGCCAGCGTCGCTGGCGCGCCGACGCCGCGTAAACCCTACCGCACGGGAGGCAAGAGCGCAGTCAGCATCGAATCGGGAAGCTGGATCGAATTGTCGGGGAGACGTAAGACCCGGGTACGGGGGACTCGGAAATCCCCGACGAGGTCGTCAAAAAAATGACGAGGCCGACCCTGCATTTTGACGAGGCCTCCCGCTGCAGACATCCCACGAAACTCCTCCTCGTCAAAATCCGAGGCGCATTCGTCAAAAAACGATGGCGAACCCGAGTCCTGGCAAACCCGGGTCTTACGCTCCCCCGAAATTGGGATGTGCGTCGGATCGGGCTGCATCAGCACGGAGTCGGAGTTGCATCGTGTCGGCTGCGCCAACATGCGCAACAAGCGCCAGGCAAGCATCGGGCTGCATCGGATCGTCCGAAAATCGGACTCAACTCCGATCGGGCTGGCCAGAATCGAAACCGTACCGGATCGATCGGGCCGAAACTTACCCTGGGAGGAGGGCCTGGGAGCCAGCCAAAGGTGCGCCTCTGGCCGCCACTGTGCCCCCTGGCACGTTGGGGCGGGGTAGAATGCAGAGTGCTGACTACAGTAGCGCTGCTGTAGGTCTCCAGAGGGCCCTCCCTCGTCACACCGAGGCGCATGCACCGTCCCCCTCCTGAGGATTCCTGAATGCCCCGACACCTCCCTGGCGTTCCCCGCAGCGTGCAGCACGGCCCAATTCGCCAGCCCAACGGGCCAGAGGCGTGCTAAGATCTCCAGTAACTGCTTTACAGTATTTCTACTTCGCGCGCGGGGGACGGCCCCTGGGGGTCCCCGAAGGAAAATTACCCCAGCAGGGTCGGGTCAGAGATGGTTTTCCGTCAGGGCGCCGCCCTCGAGACCCTCCAGAGAGCCCCAAGAAGGGTCAAAAGGCCTCCAAGAGGCCCCCACGATGATACAAGAGGGCTCGAGGATGCCACAAGATCGCTCCAAGACGCCCAAGATGGCCCCCAGACGCCCCAAGAGGCCTCCAAGAGCACCCTCAAGAGGGCCCCAAGATGCGAAAACCATTGCTTTTCCGTAGGTTTTGGGAAGATGTTGGTGTTCCCACCTTTTCGGCTTCCCGACGCCCCAAGACGGCCCAAGAGGCCCCCAAGATCGCCCCAAGAGGGCCAAAAAGGCCCCCAAGAGGGCCCCAAGACGGCCCAAGAGGGCCCCAAGACGGCCCAAGAGGCCTCCAAGACGGCCAAAGAGGGCCCCATAGAGCGCCCCAAGAGCGGCCCCAGAGGGGGAGCACGAAACAACATTTCGAGCCCTCGGTCCTGAGAGGCCTCCAGGAAGCCCCAAGAGGCCCCTAAGAGGCCCCAAGAGGTCCCCAAGAGCCCTCAGGAGGCCCCCAAGACGCCCCCAACAGGCCCCCAAGAAACTCTAAGAGTCCCCCAAGAGTCCTCTTGGAGGCTCTAAAAAGCCCCCAAGAGGCCCTTATGGGTTGGCGGAATGAGCGAAGCGATTCATAACTAAATCCATCAAGGCCGCAAAAACATGCCTAACGTTCACTCAAGAGGCACCCAGCACACCCCCAGAATAACTCAAGACGTGCCAAAGGGACCCAAAGAGGATTCCGATGTACGGCAGAAGTGGGGATGAATCTCTTGTAGGAGAGCAACAATACGTCCAAACCGATAAGGCTCAGAGCTGTCGGCTTAATATAGTTATTAGAGGGTATCAGATCGGAGGAGCCAACGAGAGCTACAAAGAGTCGAATGAGATCTCCAATGAGCTCCAAGACGGCCCAGGACAGCCCCAAGAGGGCCCCAAGACAACACAGGCAAGCCCAGTGCAGAGGGCCCCAAGACAGAAGGCCCCTCAGGAGCCCAAGGCAGTCCATAGACGACCTGGGTAGGCAGACGACAGCCCTTCAAAGAATAGAGACGGGATGTATCACGTGTTGCGGACTTCTGGGGGGCGCTCCAAACCCAACACGAAATGCTTCGCGCGCACGGTGGCGGATATTGCCACAGGCCGCCACGTAATTAAGAACTGCATTCCTCGCCCTCTCTCGGGAGCGGCCAAGAGGGGGGTGTCCAAGAGGGGGGGGTGCAAATCATGACCAGCGGCATGTGCGCGGCCCAGCGGGAGGGCCAGGGACGTAATGAAATAAGAAGAGGCGCCATGAAATCTGGGGAAATATCATGGCCCCCGCCATGATGTCCACCCCCCCCCTAGTCATCATCCCCCTCTTTTCCGCCCCCGACTCTCACCAGAGTTCTCTCAAATCGGCCCTCAGACCCTTCCAACACACCGTCTCATCCCAACTTCTCGAGCTGCACCCGGCCGCGAGCACGCCAGGATTACATATTGGAGCAGCCCCACAACAACATCCGCCTGCAGAGACCTGCTGCTCTAACACCAACACAGTTGATTCCGTTGATGCTACCCCTGCCGCTGCTGCTGCTGCTGTGCTGCCACTGCTGATGAACCCTGGCTCGGGTACAGTGGCTCACGTTATCGGCCTGATCGAGCAGCTCCGCGTGTCGCATACTGGCAGTGTGTAAGAATGGTAATATCCACGCGTTGCAGACACACATCAGTACAGATGCGCCCACGGTGTAGTCTAAATCATACAGGCTAAATCCATACATAGTTTCCAGAATTCCTGCGTGGCTCATTTCAATCTACGAGTGTGCGATCACCACCTGGTCTAATGGGATGCCACCACACCTTCACATCTGTTGTGACGTTTACCCGAACATCTAAATGAAATTATCCCGGCAAAGCAACCTAACAGCGATGTGTAGGAGCATATCTGGAAGCATTCCCCTTAAGATTCAAATGAGAATCCAGTTGTAGAATTGTGCTGTTCTCGCAGTCGTAGTCGCATTCGCGATGACAGTCGCAGTGGCAACGGCAGTCACAGACACAGCCTCAGCCTCAGCCTGCCTCAGCCTCAGCCTCAGCCTGCCTCAGCCTCAGCCTGCCTCAGCCTCAGCCTCAGCCTGCTTCAGCCTCAGCCTCAGTCTGCCTTCAGCCTCGGCGTCAGCCTCAGACTGCCTCAGCCTCAGCCTGCATCGGCCTCGGCCTCAGCCTCAGCCTGCCTCAGCATCAGCCTGCCTCAGCCTCAGCCTCAGCCTGCCTCAGCATTCAAAATGTGGCCTGGGAATGGAATTCTGGGAACTCGAAGAACACGAAGTGGCCTACAGTTGGCTCCGGGCATTCAAAATCATGCCCAGGAATGGAGTTCTGGGAACTCGAAGACCACGAAGTGGCCTACAGTTGGCTCCGGGCATCCAAAATGTGGCCCGGGAATGGAGTTCTGGGAACTCGAAGACACGAAGTGGCCTACAGTTGGCTCCGGGCATTCAAAATGTGGCCCGGGAATGGAGTTCTGGGAACTCGAAGACCACGAAGTGGCCTACAGTTGGCTCCGGGCATTCAAAATGTGGCCCGGGAATGGAGTTCTGGGAACTCGAAGACACGAAGTGGCCTACAGTTGGCTCCGGGCATTCAAAATGTGGCCCGGGAATGGAGTTCTGGGAAGTCGAAGAGCACGAAGTGTGTGACTGTTGCATCCGGTTATTCAGAATGTGGCCTGGGAATGGGGTTCTGGAAGTCGAAGAGCACGAAGTGTGTGACTGTTTGTGAAAAACGAGCCCGGCACAGGCCCGGCCGGCAACTCCCAACGCCTGCCCGGACCCCCCTGTGGAGTGATCTGTGAGCTCTTTTGAGTCAACTAGAAACCTATCAGTCTACGCTGTTAGGTAAAAATATCTGGCGAGACAACACGGCGGGGTATTCGATAGTGGCGGTCGGCGGGCTTGATAGTGTTCTTCCCACTTCCGCCTTTATAAAGAAATGCCTAAGAGTACGGGCATACACGCCGCATTTGCGCAACCACCCTCGGATTCGGCCCTACGATGCGCAGCCAAAGTGTCGGCTCCTCCGGCGCCCCTCCCCTCATGCACCATTTCCCCTCTACTTCTCTACCTTTCTAACTCTCTCTCTCTATCTCTCTCTCTCTCTCTCTGCAATCTCACTCTCTCTCTCTCTTGTTATTCTCTCTCGCTCTCTTTCTCTGTCCCTGTTTTTTTCCTCTCTCTCTCTCTCTCTCTCCCTTCTCCCAATCCCACCCTGCTCTCCTCCTCACCCGCCTCACTCCTACACCATCCCCTCCGACTCACGCCCCGCCCATACGTTCCCCCGCTACCTCCTGTTTTTCCCCATCCGCCACCCTCTACCTCCCCATCCCTCCCAACTCTCTTCCTCCTCCCGCCCCCCTTCCCCTCTCGTACCCTTCAAGCCCCCCCCCCTCCCTCCTCCCATTACCTCCCCCATACCCTCCACCACCTGTACTATTCATCCTCTACTTTCTTCCCCTCCCTCCTGTCCTGACTGTTCTCCTTTCGGACTCGTCGGCAGCCGCGGCTCCTTCCCCCCCCTCCCTTTCCTGTCCCCTCCTCTCCTCCTTTCCTGTCCCCCTCCCACCCACCAGCATGCAGTGGCCGCCCCGCATCCCACGAAGGTAGGTAACACCATAGCCACCGCAGACGCAGGCAGGCATGAGGGGCCGATCTGGGCTTGAGGAGCGACAGCACAGGCAAGCACCCGCCGAGAAAGTTCCTGATGAAGCTGGCGAGCATGACAAGAGTCCGCCGCGACCGCGACCTGCTTCGACAATGCACAATTCGTCGTTGAAGCAAGAGTCGGGGTCGCGACCTGCCCTCTGTCACAACTACTCTGCCACAGAGAGCCCGCCCCGACTTGAGGCCCGTGACGAAACCCTTCTCACAGGCCCCAAAACCAACGCCCCGGCTGCGACCCGCCCGTGGCGACTGGACCAGGGGCTCTCTTTGCCATTCGTTACTAACCCCTCCTCCTCCTGCTCCTCGTCCTGCTCCTCGTCCTCCCCTCCTCCTGCTCCCCCCTTCCTCCTGCTCCTGCTCCTCCTCCTTCTCCTCCTTCTCCTCCTCTTTCTCCTCCTCCTCCTCCTCCCCCTCCTGGGAAGGCCTCGGCCCCGCGGTCCGACCAAGCCCCCCTCGTGGGCCTACATAGGGCGCAAACAGACCTACCTCGCCTTTGACCACCCTCGCTTCCCAGAGATACCGAGCGACGCCAAACTACGGCCTGCGCTGGTCGGGCCGCTCGACGAGGAGGCGCGTGGCATGACTTGGTTTTGCCTGGAAGCGAAAGCGGGGTAGGTAATTCACGCTCTGACTACAGCCGGACCGGGAACAGAGAGCACATCCCTCAAGAGCATGCTGCTTCCCACGCTGCCGGGGGGCCCCGCGACGGCACACACTCGAATCCCTGCGGAGCGGCTCGAGCGGGGCACGAATGCCTGGGGCGCAGGAGACTCCACAGCGGGGCACAGGCAGGGCGTGGCTGCCACCAGCAGGGCACAGGAGCCATGAACAGGCCGCAGATATGTGGCACAACAAGCACATGAGAACCTCCACCGGCCAAACCACCCCAAACCAGAAGATCACCGAGGCTACGCTTCCCCAGGATGCACAAGAACCCGCGTGAAAAAAAGAAGAGCGCTAGGGTACGCTCCCCGAGCCGACCTTGATCTTCTAGTTCTGACTGGCCGTAGATGGGAACGTCTGCTCCGTCAGGCTTCACGGCATCCATCCCCACCACGAGGAGGGTAGGCTCGTGGCCACAGGGCTGACAGTGCTGACGCATGTCCGACTCTGGCACGTGAGCACCCGCCGCGAGCGCCGATCGTCCAGCAATGGTGCCGCCAGTGGGCCCCGCGGCTACGACCCCCGCCGCACCCGCAGACTCCCACGAGCGCAGACGCCGGGAATGTTTCGCAACATGGACCCTCAAAAGTCTGAACCCTTTCCCCGGGACAAGTCTTCCATCCAAAGCAATTTGACGGTCCCGGGGCCCCGCGAGGGCCCCCAGAGGCCGAAAACTGTAAGAAGTCTCCTGTCGTGATGTTTTCGCGACGAGGGGATGTCTGAGAATCAACTGGCCCACACCCCGCCAAAAAACTGCTTTCTTGTCCCCCTCCGCCCTGGGGCCCGCAATATCCCGCAAGATCCTGCAGGATCTTGCGCGCTACCCTGGGCCAATGCAAACCTGGCTTTGAAGGATCCTGCAAGATCCGGCTCTCTGGCGGACCCCCGCTTGCAGTGACCTCCATCTCAAGGCCCCCGAGCACGGCACCCCTCCGTCAGACTGGTTCAGCGCCCTCCTCATGCCCCGCCTCCTGCTCCTCCTTCTGCTCCTGCTCCATCTCCTGATCTCTTCCTCTTCCTCCTCCTCCTCCTCCGATTTCCACGTTCTGTCAGGCGACGAAGGCAAGAAACAATAGCAACGCCGACGTGCATCGCGCCGCTCCTTGGAGTGATCCATGGAGGCTGGAAGGATGTCCTTCAACAACAAGCTCCGCACCGCCGACATCGTGTCCCCGCTCGTGTCGTCTGCTACAGCCTCTGGTGCAAAACAATCAGAACATCCACTGCTGCAACACATGGAACCGAGACCCACGAAATGGAAGCCGAGCGGGACACGAAACAGCTCGAATCGAAGAGCTCATGCAAGCTACCCTCACACAACGCACCATGGGGTCGCGGAGCCTCAGAGAACTGGCCACCCATACACCACTCAAGAATTGATCCCGACCCGTTCACCGAACCCCGTCCAGCCGTGGCGACGCGGGGGGAAGGGGAGTCGAACATCCAGAGGAGGAGGAGGGGGCGGAGGAGGACGAAGGGGGGGGATAAGGAAGAGGAGGACGAGGTGAGAGAGGGCGGTGCTGTGAGCGTAAGCCATGGATTTGCCCATCCTCTATCAACAATGAACAAGCGACATTTCTACTTGCGCAGGGAAGGCTGGCGCACACCCACAAGCGCGCACAGCCCGATCCACGACACGCACGCCGAACAAATCGCAAAATTGCGAGCACGCGCCAGGCGGTACGTCTGGCAACCGACTGCCCTTACGCACATCGTGGGCTGGCGGCGGCGCACGGGATGGGGGCAGCAGGACGTCAGGGGCGGCTCCTTTGAAAGAAACACGGGGGTTCATTGCACCGGCCACCGGGAACCATGGGCCCCACGCTTTCGACGAGGTGGGGAAGCCTTCTCTGCAGAGGAACAAGAGCCAGCGCAAAGATCCTTTCGGAGGACCGTGCGGATTTCTTGGATTCGCCGCATTCCCCCCCCCCCACGTCGCCGGAGGCGCCGCCAAGGGGTTTGGCGCCGGGACTTCCGAAAATCGATGGTTCTGCAATTTTTTCTTCGGTTCGCAGAATGCTGCCCCATCGCGCGCGCTGCCACAATGGCTCAGCCGTGTCGCATCCGCGTCTGCACCATCAAGAACGCGAACTGTATTGTTCATTCCCACGGCCACGACACTGGCTTCTGAGAGGCTCAACACGATCCCAGTTCCGCCCTCATACAAAGAGCAGGCCGTTGCGAGGAAACAAATATTCAAATGACCTTGAAGAGCATTGGATCCTCGAGCGAGCCGACTAGTCTTGGTAGAAAGAATGGTATTTACCATCGGTGCAACATCGGACTCACACCTTCTGGACATCCCAACCCTAATGAAGCTCTGGATCGTTCGCGCTGAAAAGCGTATCCCGAAACAGCGTAATCTCATGTCTCAACGCATCGACTGCTTGACATGCATGAGCAATCGAAACATCTCGATGCGTGACCATACGAAACCACCCAGGCTTGTAGCCATGACCTACCAGGACGCGATACTTTGATTTCAACACCGAGATAAAACCTTCAACGCGGTCTGGAGATAAACCTTGAATCTGAAATAGAACAATGTTGGTAGCGTCAGGAGGCCTTTCCTGAAGCACCACACCTGGAATATCCTGCAGCATCTGGGCAAGTGAAGTGGCCAATTCGTGGTCTTCGTGCAGACGCCCAAAATTCTCCTCTAATGCCGCAATGCCAGCGCCTGCCATCATACCGACTTGTCTCATACCACCGCCAAGTTGCTTGCGGACTCGTCGTGCGCGACTGATTGTCGGACCTTCACCCATAACCATTGACCCGATTGGCGCACCCAAGCCTTTGCTCAAACACATGCTTACCGTAGTCGCGGGCCGCACAAGTTCCTGGATTGCTTCCTTCAATATTTCTCGTCTACTACGATCCACCGGCCCATGTGCGGGGCCACCAAACTCCGAAAACCGGGGCCCCTTACCTGCTGCGCATTTGAGCCCTCCTGACCCAGGTATTTCCGTGAATCTTAAGCACTTCTATATCCGCACGGAACCTGACAATGTGTACCCATGGGAATCGGAAACACCCTTGGCAGAACAGAGAACGATCTTGAACGCGAAACGTAACATGTCTGGCACGGGCGCGCACTGTCAACTCTACCTCCAATTATCAGTACACTAGGGAAAACCAGAATCCTTGAACCCCCTGGCATTTTCGAGAGCTCTCCACACCTGACCTCTCTCTCTGTCTCTCTCTCTCTCTCTCTTGCTCTCTCTCTCTCTCCCTCGCTGTGTTATGATTACGCTATGTGTAACTCAATTCGCTCTGGACTCTACTATGCCAACATAACGACTCAATATCAATCCCTCTCTCTGTCTCCCTCTGTGTGTCTCTTCAAGTCTCGTCTCTACTCACTCATAGATGTTCTCTGTATTCTATAATGGAGTAGCCGCCGTGCTTGTACGGAGTGGGCGTGTTGGATGACTGGTCTTGTGTCCGGGGGCTTCTATCATCGTTCTACCCCTCCTGCTCGCAAGCGTGCCTCTGAGATCACCCTCTCCGAATGTGCTCTCCACCGCCCTTTTCGGCTCGGCCAAGATGGCCTCCCAAAACGGCTTCTGAGACAACCAGGACGACACCAAGACGGCCCAAGATGGTCCAAGACGGCTCACGGCCTCAAGACGGCCCAACAGGCCCTAATATGGCCCCAGGGGGGCTCCAAGTGGCCGTCCAGTAGGGCGCGAAGAGGCAAACAAGCATTGATGTTCCGATGGCCGTTGAGAGATTTGGAGGTTATCGCCTGTTTCGGTTGCCGACCGCCCAAGACGGCTAAAGTGGCCTCCATGATAGCTCCAAGGTAGCTCAAAGACTGTCCAGGAGGTTCCCAAGAGGCCCCCAAGTCGGCCGAAGAGGACGCCCAGATCGCCCACGAAACGTCCAAGAGGGACCACGACGGCACTAAAACACCCCAAGAACGCACCAAGATGGTCCAGAGAGGCCTCCAAAGACGGCCTCCAGAAAGGCGACTGACGAACCAAGAGCTCCCTACGACAGCCCACAAGGCCTGAAGAGGTCCCCACGATGGCCTAAGGGAGCCCCCACGAGGCTCCCCAAAGAGGGCCCCCAATCGGCCCAAGAGGGCCAGGAAGTCGCCCAAGAGGTTCCCAAAACGGCCCTAAAGCGGCACAGTGGTGCACTAAGATACTGAGACGGGCCAGAGAGGCGCCCAATACAGCCCCCGAAGGCATCCGACGGGCAAAGAGCTTCGTGAGACTTCCCAAAAGGCCACACCAGACCCCAAGAGACCCCCGGACACATCCGAGCTGGCTCCGAGAGGACCTCCACAAGATCCCGACGATGCAAACAACATTGGTGTGCGTTCGGCTGTTGAAAGATGCTGACGTTCTCGCACGTGTGGGCTCCCCGACCGCGCAAGACAACCCAAAAGACACCCCAAATAGCTGCAGACCAGCCCACCCGGCATCCAAGAGGGCCCCGAGACGGCCGAAACGCGTTCTGAGAGTGCACTCGTATGGTCTAGAGAGGCCGCCAGTGCAGCCTCCGAAGGCATCGGATTGGCCAAGGATGCCTTTGAGGCGGCCCGAGGGGCCCAAAGAGGCGCCCAAGAGGCCCCAGCAGGCGCCAAAGAGGCCCCACCAGGCGCGCCGGCGCCCCAGAGGCCCCCAAAGCCCTAAGGATGCTCCCAAGAGGCACTCAACTGCCGCAGGGCTTGTACTCGACTTCCCCCTGCCGCGCGCGCGGACGAGGACCAGGTCGAATTCAAAACCTCTCCTAAATCACCACTTGTCGGTTTTGCCGCGGGGCGCGAATCCGACCCTCTTCTTACCGCGCGGAAGACGAAGACGAGGTCGAGTTCAAGCCCCACTCAAGTTCAGACCGCTCGCGCCGATGAGGCCTCAAGAAGACCCCAAGAGGTCACAAGAGGTCCCCAAGAGACCCTCCAAGAACGCTTAGGACTGTCTCAGGAGGGCCCCAGGAGGCTACACGAGGGCCTCGAGAGGTCTCCTCATCAGCGTCCCAATTATCCTCCCTCTCGTTGTCTTCCTCTTCCTCCTCCTCCTCCTCCTCCTCCTCCTTACCGCGCGCGCGGACAACAACGAAAACGGGGTCATGACAAGACAAAACAACAACCCGCGTCAATGCACCTACGTGGGTGCGGCAAGTGGGCGCCGGGGCGCCGGCATGGGCTGGCCGCTCAGAAGCAGGAGCTCGGCATTGAACCGGGGGGGGAATCTATGCAAACGTCGGAACCAAATTCGGACACGGCTGGACTCGGAGACCTGGGATGGGATGGGAGCTGGAGTCGGAACCGATATAAAATGGGTTGGCCGCTCAGAATCTGGAGTCGGGACTTTGGAAAGTCATGGTCAGAAAAATGGGCTCGAGCTGGTGAGATTGGAACGGGAGTCGGAAAAGCAACTGGAATCGGAGAATTGTGCACCAGAAGCGGCGAAAATGAAAACTGGCGCCGAAGTCGGGAGTCCGGGACATCGGAGCTGCGGTCGGACAGGTGGTGTGCTGATGCTGGTTCCGCGTGCCCGACGGATGGTTAAGATTTGCGCACGTCGTCGAAGCAATGGAAACTTAGTGTGTAGGCGTGATGGATGCTGAGAAAGATAACGCCGTCATGAAACCTGATTATATTGTCGTCGTGGCTGCGTTGTCGCACATCGCACACAAATGCGGTCGCAAATCGTGAGTCCATCATTGTTTGGGCCGCGCTGTTCTGTGGGTTGCGTTGCGCGGGAAGTCTCACTCCAGCGTCCACCGCGAAGCAAGTGCCGCCCATTTGGCGGCCCACCTCCACTTCCGTCGCCGTAACAATGTGCACCAATCCTCGATCTTGATCTGCTTCAAACACATCTCCGCGGTGCGCGAAAAATTGTAAAACCCGAATCGCCCATGACTCTTCCGAGGTAGGCGAAAATGCGTCGTCATCATCGTTATAACTGTATTCGGCATAATTGATGTGTGTGTGTGTGTCGACAGTCGCGCTCTTCTCAAGCGGCACGTCGGTGTCGAGAGGGCGTTGTCGCATCGATTCGGCAGCGTTGGTCAAGCGGCGGGCACACGCACGATCATCCGAGTAACTTGCCGCTGAGTATCCTGTAGTCGTGTGTCCAAAAATTTTGTCGTCGTCTACGCTCCGCACCCGTCTGAAACCGTCGGGGTGATGTTCTGTAGAGCAGTCCATCGTCCGTTGAAGGGAGTAGTGCTTGCTTGTGA